TGTATGATGAGTGGTGTATGATGAGTGGTGTATGATGAGTGGGTGTATGATGAGTGGTGTATGATGAGTGGTGTATGATGAGTGGTGTATGATGAGTGGTGGTTGAACAGCTGTTGAATGTCCGTAACACGGAAGTTTTGCACACTAAACTTCCTTTGAATATATCCCTGGATGTGCACGACCAATATCGAGATATGGGAACCCGGCATTGACAAGAGGACATCCCGGAGCGAACTCTTGCACTGCTTGGACCCCCCGACGGAATTCGCAGCATCTGCAGCGGAATTTGCCGGAATTTGTTTTTCAATCGTCGGAATTGGAGAAGACTTCTCCCACAAGCGGTCCATTCCTGAACATCCCAGACTTTGACCGAAGTGTTCTAGGATGTGGCCCTTTCTGCCACTCTTGGACCCAGACACGACCAATGGGATTGGCATATATGCCTACCTGTTTCTTCAAAGGGACCTCGCGATATCCTGCTTTGAGGTCACTTGACCCAGACCTGTTTGGTCATTTGGGGACTGCCAAGGTCGGTCCATGAACTGAAGAAGCTGGCGGTACATGAAGCCTTTTTCATCAACCCTCCCAACGCAGATGGCAGTCCTATGGAGTCAAGAAGCAGTCATTGACCTGTAGGGTGCAGGTTTCACATGATGACCTGTGCACACCGCACACATGGCGTCCGTACTCGTGCAAAAAAAAAGGACCTGTAGGGTGCAGGTTTCTGCGGTGGACGTGCGTGCGCAGGCTTGGCGAATGTGCTCTGCGGTGTGTTGGGCGGCATGGGCGGCTGTGCCATGATCGGACAGCCGCTCGGCCAGTGCCATGGGGGGCGGAAGCCAGTGCATGGAGGCTTTGATATGGTTGTGGGTCATGGCACCAGGAGAGCGTGGTTGACCCACCGGGAAGGTCTGTCGCTAAGTACATGCTGTTGCGGGGGCTCCAGGTGTTTTATCCATGGCCCATATATGGATATGTTTTGGTTTTCGTGATGGGTCGCAACAAGGTCCAGGTTCCACATGTCAATTGGGGTTGATTGGACCCGCCAAGGGGGAGATGGTTGGAGACATCACCCCTAAACATACGTTCTGGGAGTTGTTGGCTGCCCGGTGGCTGCCCTCGCACTCTCCAGAGGCTCCAGAAGGGGCTGCGGCGCGCGTTGGAACCACATCCATTTCTGAGGTCGATGATCAACATTGGTTCAGGCGCCCGCACGCGCGCCTCCTCCTTCATCGCAGGAGCGGTGCGAGTGAGGGCGGGGTAGGGTGTGGCAGAGGAAGGACTGCAGGAGATGAGTGGCTGAATACCTGCAACTTCCTCAGAGTGTTTTTTAAAATATCTGTGGGAGTTACAGCCTTATACTGGAGTCTGCGGATGTTTCTCTAGATTGTCTGATTTGTTTGATATTCCACGGCCGTTTATACACAAGCTACGGGCGTGTATTGGTGAGCCGCGGGCATTCTTCCCGAACGTGTTTTTTCAAAGGATGTTTATTTTGGTTGCGGATATTTATGTGGTTTCACAGACCTAAACAAGCGTATGTTGAACTACCGACCCCAAAAGAGCAACCACCACGAGTTCGCAGGTATGTCGTGCTTGAAACACGACACGTACGTTGTTTTAGTAGTCTGATTCGTGTATATCGATTCAAAAAGTTTCGCTAGTACGGCTTTGAAGGTTGCATCCGGAAGACAGCTCGAACAAGAGCACGGGCTCCAGTAATATAGACGATTCCAGGGGCCCCACAAACCATCAAGAACATGGTTTCCCCTAGCAAAAAAAAAAAAGTGTTTATATGTGAAAACATTTGTTCTTCATGGTTTTGAGGGCCCCTGGGATTGTCACTAACAGGTCATAGCCATGGGATCAAGATGATTACTACCGGTGCCTAACAACTCCTTTTGCTCCTTCGGATCAGCAAGAAATACCGCCCATCGACACACCCTCGGGGGCTATTCCCCACTGCCACTTTCTCAGGTTTGGTATGTGTGGACCCAAAGTGTTAAACAATGTCAAACATTTGAACACATAAAAACTATTCCCTAGCTTTCCAAGCCCATTAAACAAAATGGTTGACCAGGTTCTGTTCGGTAAAACCTATATGATTTAAATCAATGGTGGGTGGAGTCGGATTCAAAGTCTCCACTCATGGACGGTTACTCAACAGTCCAAAATGCCTGTCACTAGAGTTAAGATCTGTGGATCTTACCCTCCCAGATCGGAGCTGGGCCGCCCAAAGAAGGCGAACTGAGTCTGGACTCAACCCGTTCCGTTCACGGGAAACCGGGTGTTGCACCTGTTGAAACCCAAAACCCTCACTCGGTCACCCATGTGCACTGGCCGACCCGGACCCGACCGGGTCGAGGTCACTGTTCGGCTGAAACGACGCACCGCCACGCAACCGGGTCGCCGGCACCGCGGCCGCGACGCGAGGATTGTTTTTGCTGATCATCGTGCTAGTGGCCTATGATGGGATCAAGAAGCGCTTTGGGTGGAAAGGGCCGTGAGTTTGCTTGCTGTTGAGTTCGGTGGCATGTTCGGCCTTGTCAGCTGTTTGGGGTGAAGTCCAAATTTGCCAAACACGTGACCCTGCGAATCACCCTGCAGCCAGTATACTAGGGTGTTGTCCCTATGGATCCACATACCGAACCTGAGGTACGGTGAGCAGGGAGAGTATTTATGTCTACGTAGGCGCCAGGAGGGGTACCGGTGAGGTGGCAGGCGACGATCAAGTGACCTTTGGGGAACCGGCCAACACGAGACATGTCAGGAAGGACTCCATGAGTAAGTCCAGATGGAGCATGGAACAGACGATTAGGTGGTGGAAAAAGAACAGCTGTGCCAGACACAGCAGAAAAATCGTCAAAACTTAAAACATGAAACATACACTCCCTAATTCAATACACTCCCTGAACAAATCGTTAAAGTGGAGTGAAAACTACCTTTTCGGCAAAGGTCATCCTTTCTAGGCCATGCCATCCACTTCAGGGAGTGTAAGAAGACTTGCTCCAAAAGACGTGTTCCACAAAAATGACCGTGGTCCATGCGCTGGTATGAGGTGAAAGGGGTGCCGATCTCTTGAATGTGGCGGGGAGGCCCGACAAATGCCCTCTTGCGCACAGGTTGTCATGTCTTTGCTGGGTGGGGGTTTGGACCCTTTTGGGGGGTCCATCGCTCTTTAGGAATCTGATCTTATTTGATCCACCTTTTGTGCAGAGACTCCGCCACAGAGAGTCGTCTTGCTCAGGATTCCAGTCTCGGCTTTGGTTGGAGTGATGTGTCTTGGCGCTGCTGTGGATTCTTTACGTGAACTTGTTGACTTCATCGAGTGGAGGAACTTGTCGATTAGAGGTTTACACTTCCTGAATCCCTAGGGATCCAAATACCTTCTCAGAAGGTACTTGGACCCTACTGGCACCTACATAACAGTGCCTCCGATCACCTTCTGAGAAGGTACTTGGATCCCTAGGGAATTAATCATGGAAGTGGAAACCAAGGCACCAATGCCATCCACTTCCACCATGATTCCAGGGAGGGTGTGCTTTTAGGTCTGAGATGGGAAGTTGCGATGCCACCGATAGCTGATTCTTTCCCTAACAAAGCACTTACAAACAGAGGGGTAGGCCCCTCATCTACCCCCATCACAGTGCGGAAACAGGCTTCAGGACGAGGATCTCTTCTGCATGATGTTTAATGTCCCATTGTTTCAACCTCATAATTCATCCACTGAAACCAGGGAGCTGCACCATCTGGCACCATGTTTCCAGGTTCTTCGTTCATCTGGCACCAGCGAGCGAGAAGCGACCACTGCGTGGGTCGTCTCGTCTCGTTTCACGGCCACCGCTCAGCACAGCTCCGATTCGGCGCCGGCGTAAGAAGCGCCCTCCACCGATCGTAGCAGCGCCATCCGTGCATCGTTTCGTGAGGTATGTAGATTGGGGTTCAGAGTTGGTCAACTGGAGAGGCTAAGGTTGACGGAACTATCTCCAGTTCCTTTTAGTCAACTAACTACACAAACACATAGTCACTAGCAGGGGCCCACTAACTACAAACCATCAAAAAAAACAAGGTTTTCACCTCTAAAGCACCAGGTGTTTGTTGCGTTCGGGAAGAACCATGGTGTTTGTATGGGGCCATGTGGGGCCCAATATAGGTAGTCCATACTATCCACCACGCCTTGATCGGCCGGACCCGGACCCTTCACGTCGTGGGGGGTCAAGGGGTTCCTTGTTCCAAAAAGGGCTCAAGAGTCATGGGGCTGGAAGAATGAGTTATATATATATATACTGACTGAGGTTCATTTTTTCATGGTGTCCATGTAATTATGCTTTAAATTTATATCATTTGCAAGTATTCCACAAGTATTCGCAGGTCCCATACTGGAGGTCCCATGAAGCTCATGAAGCTCATGGATGGTCCCTTAATTTGCAGGTCCCATGGAGGGTCCACAAGAACTCAGGTTCAATGTGTGTTTCCACACCTTTGAGTGGAGCTCCTTGAAACTCATGATCTTGGCGGCGTCGCTCGGCCGGTCCACGCGGAGGGGTCTGGGAGAAGGAATCCGGTGAGGGTCTGGGAGAAGGTGAAGACTTAGAGAAGGCCCCAAGTGCCCAAGCAAGACAGGGTAGACAGGTCTATGTCCATTCTGCCAGGGAGTCGTCGATTCTTGGATGTCTCTTATTTGATCAATAGGAGTCAGGAGTGTCAGGAGTCACCCACTGAGAGCCAGGAGTCAGTCATGAGTTCGGGGTGTCGAACGAACAGAGGAAGTCGGGGTGTCCATAGGCCATCCCCGTCACATCCACTGAGCTCGCACCATGACGGACGAGCCTGGAGGCACCATTTAGGCTCGGCCCTCCATGTGACTCCTGGAGCGTATCCAATTCTTTACCAGTTTCGTATTGAAAGAGAGCAGTCACACGATGCGAGGGCAACTGCTCTCATGGTATCCCAAATGGTATCCCAAATGGTGTCCCAATGGTATTTTGAATTCTGCGTGACTCACCTGTAACTCATGACATCTTGATGCCTAGGCTGCCACTCAGAACTCGGTGTTTGGTGCTTCTCGTCCATCGAACCGGCATGCTGGCACCGTGCCCCCCAAAATCGGACGTCACGTCACGCAGGTCACGCAGGGACCCCACGTCGTTCGTTCGGAAATGGGACACGTGACATGACCCGAAAAAAAGTGTTTAAATAAACACACCCAGATGCTCCATGTATGCCATGTATGCCTACATTGGGGTGGTTTGGGGGTTCAATGTAAGCATATATACCATACATGGAGTGTCTGGGACAGGTGCTTGGGGCCCCATTTTCCGAGGTCCGACCGGGTCGACTCCAGGTACGACCGGGTTTCAAACAGGACACATGACCCAGGCAACATACCAGGCGAACCCACGTGGAAGCCACACAACATGACTCGATGGCTTGGCGGTGTGGTTTTTTAAGGACCACCACTCCCCAGCTGTCTCCTTTTGACCATCTTTGGACCGACTGTGAGTCCAAACCTCCCCACCAAACCATGGTAGATTGATATCCCTTATAACTGATATAAGTATAAACCTGGACCATCCTGTCTGGGTGTTCTGTCTGGAGATCCTTAATATATATATATATAGTGTAGTAGGGTACGTAGTCCATTGGACACCCAGACAGGATGGTCCTGGAAGGTATATTTGTTTTCATGCTCAGTCCAGTCCCCGTGGCGCTTTTCGCGTCGTGCGTCAGAAGGGACACCTGGATGTCGGTTCACCCCTTCAGGTGTCCCTTGCGTGTGCGACGGAAATTCTTGAGCTCCAAGACTGCTGCGCAGCAGATCCGCCGTATGGACCGGTTGCGAGCGCCACCGGTGTTTCTGGAGACGGGATGTAGGACAGCAGAGTTTGCTCATGCAGATATGGAGAGAGATGGAGAGATATCGATGTGACTTTGTATCTTTGTTTTGATAAGAAGTTTGACCATATTTGGGGTGGTTGGTGCTTCAAAATACAGGTCACCTCACTCAGGCTCCAGATATGAAATATCAAGATATATCAATAGTCGACAGGAGTTCGAGCAGGTTTTGGAACAGTTGTAAAATGTTGTGGATAGTATTTTGAAGGGGACACAGTCTTGACTCTTATTATATTACACCCTGAAGGTTTCCTGTTCCCAAAAGTGTTGCTGGTGCCATTATGTGTTTGTTTGTTTTTATCCCAAGTTTCAGATGATAAGTTGGGCTTGAGGTGGATGATAGGGACATGGATGCTCAATGCCAATGCTTCAACTTCCATCCATCCAACGGACACGCCCCGCAAAGAACTGCTGTTTAGACACTGCACCGTTGTTAGGGGCAGTGTCTATGGTCTACGGTCGCACGGTCTACGGTCGCATGCCCACCTGGGGTTGGAGAGCAAACTCTCTAGTCCCATTAGTAAAGCCTTGAGGCCTTGAGTGTCACCATGCTTTGCAGACTCCTGACCATGGTTGTGAAGAACATGTCTCCCATTTCTTGACCTGGGCAATGCAACTATTGGCACCTGTGAGCACCACTGACACTGACAAGTTCTCCACGCAACTCAGGGAGACAATGTTGGCTCAGGGAACGACCATCACCCAACATTGGGGTGTTGAGGAGAAGGCTTCAACACCAAAGGCCCTTTCTTAGGTTCTCAACCTTGGAACTTTGTAGAATTTGTGTGGGACAAGTAGATCACCGGCACAAATCGTTGTGGACAGCTTTCTTTTTCCCACATGTTGGAGCAGCTCGAAGCTTCGGACAGCTCGTTTCACTGGGACAGATGTGTTTTTCCGCAGGATTCCTGCAGCAAACATATTGGACGGTTTATTTTTCCCCACAAGGATCCAAGAGGTGGGAAGTTGGGTCACTCGATGCCAGAGGATTTTTGGTATATAGTAGCCTTTACCAAGTCAACCATTGGTTTACTAAGGATTTGATATGACCACCAAGATCAAACGTTCTTGGAAATTGTCTTTTCACTTTGATTCTCCAGACATACTTTCTCCGACCGCGGTACAGGACGCGCTGGTCATCTTAGTCGTGACCTTGGTCACTCTCTTCACCGACCTCGCCACAGCTGTAGCTGTTGGCATGGTCCGATGCTGAGTTCGCTTTTGTGGGATGGTCCGCTGAAGTTCAGCCGCTGAAGAAGAGGAAGGTCCGAGTCAGTTTGATTCACGTGATAAGCTCACGTGAGTCAGTTCATAGCATCCCATGCTTTCCTGACATGTGTTTTGTAGCCAGCACGCCTCCAGGAGCTGTCCAATTGTGTGATGGTTGAGTCCTGACAACCATGTATCTCGTAGCAAAACCCCTATGTACGTGGGTGAACAGCGAAAAGATTGCGGTGACTACCGACCAGGGGCAGTACAATGTTGCGCTCCAACACGTACTTCTTCAGCTCCCGGCTGCCGATGGGCAGCCAGGGTGCACACCAGCGGCTCACAGCGGCGCCGTGGGCCCACAAGCCAGAAGCGGTGTTTGGGTGCACGTTCCTGCCCGCTTGGATGCCAGACCTGTTCAAGGAAGGTTTGCCCGTTGCAGAGAGCGAGTTTCTTTTTGCTTGCCACAAATGGATCTCAAGGAACACATCACTGACACCAAGGTCACCATCCTAGACGGGCCCGCGCTTGCAGTCTACACAGCCGCGTGGGAAGCAGTGCAAGGCTTCCTCAAAAACCATGTGGCCTATATGCGAAGCATCCTTTTGTAGCGAAGTTGAACTTTTTTTTGCAATGATGTGCTGAGAGAGGCCCGCTGCGTCTTCCGAGAACACCAATGTTCGTGCAGCGGTTCATGGGGGTGGCCCTGCAGGCGATCATCTCCAGTCTTCTTTGCTTGATCCCAGAGCTCCAAAAGCTCCACAGGGAAGATGGTCTCAAATTTGCTGCAGGTAGCCAGCTTTCCAAACATGAGATGAGGCAAAAAGATTGCAGCAACCTCAAAATCCTTTTTCAAGGTTTTGGGGTTCTTGCAAGGCACTTCAAGATGAAAGGGATCTGGCAAGTCAATCCCTTTGCAAAATGTAAAGCTTCTCCCAAAAATGACAAGTGAACAAAAGTGATCACTCTTGAGCGCTTCTTATGTTCTCATTGTCTTGCAATCAAAATCTTTAAAACAAAGAAATTAGTAAAGCCATATTATTGTCCTTGGAAATTCACAACAGAAGATTGGTGGCCAAATCTTGGATGTGTGCTTATGTACCCCTTTCAAGGTTGATTGTTGGGAAATGACTGCGCATTTCTAATTTCAATGCATGAACACTTGATTTGCACTTAAAACAAACTAAGTTGTTAGTTTGTTTAGGAAGTTATGTGACTATGATTCATGCAAAAAATGTAAATAGACTAGAACAAAAACTTAAAAGGTCTAAAGATCAAACATAATGAAACTTGTATGCCGCACTCTGCCAACATGTTTTAGATTAGTAAATTTAATTTGCAAAATAATTTTAGCTTAACTCAAAATATAGTAAAAATGTATATTGATAGTTAACTTGTTCTATATAGATTTGGATTTAAGAATACATTAATCTAATTGAACACAAATAAACAATATATATACTATATATATATATATATCTAATGGTCTATTTGTCATTGTCTTTCACCACCCGCCTTTTTGGCAAGTTCAGCTCTCCAGTAGCTTGGCTGGCCACCCTTCCAAACCAACACAGCCAAATACACCAACACAAAGACAAGTCAACCAACATGTGATTCCCTTTTTACATTACTGTAACTGAGGTTATATGTCACAAGAAGGGTGCCAGCACAGCTGCTCAAACTGTACAAGTGCCAAAAGCAGTGCCCAAGAGGCACTGCAGCTCATGCAGGTTGGCTGGCCAGGCCTTTTTCTGGGAGGCATCCTTTTTCAAGGAGCTGGAAGCACCACCACCCGCAGGCAGCATGTCAAATTGTTTTAAAGCCTTTGCAAAGGTGGAGCTGGAGCGCTCATGGTGCTTTGGCCCCTGGTGGGGAAAGTCACCAAGCCCCATTCATTCGCTTCACTGAGGATGTTTGGCTGATCATCAAACAGTGCTTCATCCCCCACCCAGCACTCTTGCCTTCAGCCCCACATTTTGTCCACACCACCATTGTGGACTTCACCTTTCTCAAGGTGTCAAGGAGCACAAGTTCTTCGACTTGTTTGTAGAAGGCATGTGCCCTTGGCTTGGTGGCCACATAGCTGAGGATGTGGACATCCACCAAGCCAGCCAAGGTGTGCAAGGCCTGCAAGTTGTCTGGGTGGACCTGGTTTTTCGGCATCCTTTCTCAAGGTTTCCTTCAGGCCTTTCCAGCTTCTCCTTCAGCGCAGCTTCCTTTTTCAATGTTTCAGCTGGCGTCACCAGGACCACAACGAGTTGGAGTTCTGGGCCCAGGTCGCTTGTTGAAACGCAAGCGCAGTCCGCATCTTCCCTCGCCAGGTCTTCCAGTTGCTTCTCTGCACTGGAGACCGCCTTTCTCAAGGCTTCCAAGTGGGCAGTCAGATCCTCTTCATAGGTGGCAGGAGGGTCATCCTGCAGTGCAGACCACTGCTTTCTTTGCCTGGCCTCCTTCTGTTTCCTGTGGTTGTGCCATTGTGCCAGACCCCAGGGCCCTCCCTTGTTGTTGTCCTAGTCCATGCCAGCTGAGTACATGGAGTGTCTAGTTTAGTCAGTCCAAAACCTATATGGGTGTGCAATAGACTACCCTACACTGCTACACTAAACCTCCAGCCAGGAGACCCAAATCCTGGATGATCCTAGCTGGTACATTGCGTGTCTAGTCAGTCTGCATCATCTCAGGTCGTCAGTCTCTTCACCTTTGCACTGGAGACCTCCAACGCAGTGCAGGTCGTGCCGAGGGAACCCACGGACGGCGTCCAAGTCTATGATGTGCCACGGTCCGGTCGAAGCGGGAGGAAGCGACCGAGTAGCGGACCGAGGCGACGGTTCGGAGCAAGAAGCGAGGGGAATCTGAGACGAGATGACTGGGTGCCAGGGTTAAGTCATCTCTGCATCTGGAAGTGGACAGCCCCCTGTTTGTGGAGGAAAATGGTCTTCCAAGGACCCATTCTCACTTCCATGTTAGTTCTAGGGAGTGTAAGTAAATTCTGGCGACTGAAACAAAACTCATCATTCCGGTGGTCCAGATGAGGGTTTCAACTTTCGCCCGTCGGATGCTGTGAACCTTCCCCACCTTCACCGGACCATGGTAGGTTGACCTGGACAGACGAGGAATCGGTTCACGTTCGGGAAAAAAACCGGGTGCACAGGGCTGCATGTTTTGACCCATGGCCCATTGCCATAGTTATTTGTGTATCTTAACAGGTTTCGACACCCTGGCCCTGGGGTAGGCGATGGTAGACTGGTCTCATTGCAGTCTTCCAGTGGGTCGGAACGCCTGGGAGTTCTCCCTATGTATAACCTCTATTGGGCTCCAAGCATACTCTTATGAGCTTAGAAGGTCAGACCCACCCCTGGCCTACCGAACCTGGGGATGCGGGCCAGCCCTGGCGAACAGCTGACACCCAATCACACCCAGTTCTGCCAACAGCTCCATCGAGTTGGGTGCTTGCTTCACGGGCGCGTGCCCGCGGAGCAGTTCCATCCACTCAGTGGATGGGGACTTAAAACAATGTTCTTTGAAGCTGCTGGTTGTGGCATGAGCTTTGACAAGGGTTTTGGACCATATGCAGGGTGGGAAGACCTTTGCTCGAAAAATGTCTGAACGCAGCGGCGCATGGGCATGTCAAATTCCAGGCCAGCTAGGTAGCTAGGTGTGACTTCAAAAACCGAACCCAAAGAAAACGCATTCAACTTGTCCCCTGAAAGCCAAGGTTCTGATCATGTCCCTCGTCCATGTATTTCGGATAATACTTGGATTCTTGTTGGTGCATATTTTCCATGCAGCTATCCACCACAGAATCTACCCCCTTTCTTCCGGATACGCGTGAGCTCCGAAGAGACGGCCAAATCCCTCTGCAGCTCTGAAGACCGGCGTGCCAGGCTCCCTCCCTCCCGTGCCGCACCGGAACCGGTCGGTCCCTTCCTCAGGTGCATGGCACGCTCTTCTTCGGTAGCACCACGCACTTTTTGGACCTCTTTCCGGAACAGGTCGTGGCCAAGGCCGGCGCAAGACTCGACCGAAACGTCGCGAGCGCAGTCATGTCTACGACATGTCGTGTCCTCAAGAAACTGTCGGGGGGCACGCAAGGACGGCAGGGATTCATACTTAGGGAGTGTAAGGAACCTTTAAACAATATAGGAGGCCTCACCAGAGACATGGATCTTTGGGGGAATGCAGAGAACAAGTTGAAAGCATGTTGATGTGGACATCTTGGCATCCCCCGGCAGACCAGTTGTTCCCAAGAAGCATGCAAGTCAGAGGTTGATCTGGTATAAAGGAGATGACCATGCTCAGCGATGACGGACCCCAGCACCAAGCGCCACTCCAGGCCACAGAAACCTTCATGTTCATACATGAACACTATGAGGGTTTCCTTGCATGGGGGGACCCCAAATCATCAACTTTAATGGATGTTTTAATCAAACACCATCGGTTTTGGGGCACCCCCATTTATGGAAACCTCCATATCGAGCACGAGGTTGTGGGAATAAATGTTAGGCCTTGATTGGCCTTGCTGGGTGAAGGTTGGCAGCTTCTATGTTTCACAAGAGTTGCGACTTGTCGGTGGTCTGTGTGAGAAAAATGCTAGAGAAACTATGGGACAAAAAAACGATGGTGGTCTGTTTGAATTGGACATCCTCTTCATAAGAGGGGGTTCATGAGTCAGGAGTATCAACGGTCAATGGTGGACCAGGAATCCTAGGGCTCAAAGCAGCTCAATAAGCGCATGTGGTTCTGTAAAGAGTCCGTGCCTCCAGCCAGCAGCCAGCAGCCATACATGGTCCCTGTTCTTGGTACATTTGTAGCGGAACATCACTGGGCCGTGTTTGGCAAAGCCATACCTCTCGAGGTCAAACTTAGCATCAGTCAATTCAGCAAACCCTTCCACAAAAGACATCAAAATGTGTTTTTGACTTAGCAAATGGACTGACCACATGTGGTTCTCATACCGCTACAGGTTGCGCATGGGATCGGGTGGACGCGACAGAGTCCGCACGTGAGTGCATTCAAACAGGGGGGTTATGAGTCAAGAGTTTACATGAATAGCCTGAATCCCCAACCTGTCATGGTACAACAGGTCGTTCCGCTCATCTCTTCAGAAATGGTCTTCTCGCAAGGTGAGGGGGGGGTGGTTCGTTTCAACACATGGGTTACCGAGCTTTCCAATTAGACCGTTAAATGATCCCAAGACCATGTGGTTTCTTTGCCTCATTTCAAGCACCATGAATTGCTCCCAAACGCTCCATGTGAGCAAACCTGGTCTACGTGAACTCCACCAAATGTGAGCGTTTGGGTTTATATTATTTTATATTGAAGATCTAAGGTCACATAGCTTGTTCTTCTTGGCGGTTTTGGCCACGATAATGGTCACATGTCTGATCACTGTTATTATGTTTGCTGGTGATTCTTGTGTTTATCCGTCAACTGGTCCATACCCAAACCTTCCATGATACGTCACGTATATATATATTATATAATTAGTATGTATGTAACTTTATATATCTACGTGAACCCCTTTTCCACCACCCCTGGCCTGAACCGCAAAAACACAAGAAGTCACTTGGGACGTCCCAAACAGGTGGTGTTTTGCAATTACCAAAGCGGCATCAAAACGGTCCACTGAAACCGCCAGGACCCTGATGATGTTCGCTTGGTCTTTGAGACTGGGCACGTCGCAGACTACTCCGCTGTACAGGTGGACGACCGTGGTGCACGACCGCGCACGACCGCGGTGGTGGAGGGAGTCGACTTTGGGCAACAAGCCAATAGCAATGGCCTCCAAGCTTAGGAGAGATGGCCTCCAACCAGACAACGCCAATTCACCCAATGAATTCGCTGCCGGAGTTCGTGTTTTTCCGTAGACCTTCCGCTGGACCTCAGGTTCGGCTTCTTTCCACATGTTACACATCAATGCATCCATGTCTCCACGACCTGTTTGAGACGGCCATATTTGTGAGAAAAGGCCAGGGGTGGTTGATTTCAGGGGTCAATGGGGCGGCATGATGATGCCATCCATACTGTAGAGTTTGGGGTGTGGATAGACCATCCGACCATCCTGGACCTAGAAATCCCATGATTGCGCAGGGTCAGTACTATAGAGGTACTGGAACATGGAGAAGTTCGAAGGAACATGTTCAACCTCCAACCGCAAACCCAGTATTGGTTGATGAGCAAAGTCATTTGATATATTAGTCTAGAAAACAGATCAGAAGTGTTGGCAACTTACTCAATCAAGTTCTCCAAACCCATTCTGCAGGCGTTGAACAAGCTCGGGGAGCGCTATGGGGCGCAGGGAAAGCGTTTGACGCTGCAAGAGCTAATGCCAAAGACGCATCGAGTCCTCTCCAGGTGCGCACGGCTTGGCGGTGGGGCGGTGGGGGTGTGAAGAATCGCCGCGGGTGGCGGTTCTTTCTCTTACAGGTATATAGTACGTCTTATCTGGAAAAAACACTTGGTGAATCCAATCTATTCATTCTCAAAAACGGATCATCTGAGCATAGTGTTGAGGATACCAAGCTGGCTGCTGCAAACATCAATGTTTGTGCAGGTGTAAAACAGGTTCGTTTTGTGTACGTCCATGAGGCATGCATCTTCCAGGCCTACTCACTTGCACGTCATCTTTTTGGGACATTCGGAGACTTCCCCATCACTTCGAAATCGACGATGTCCGGATGGATCGGCGGAGGACGCGTGTTTCGATCGGATTTCGGTCGGGTTCACCGACGATCGATTAGATCGGATCCAGGTCGAAGCCCACGAGGTCGCGGATTGTCGGACCCGGATTTCTGCTACAGGTCCTCAAACCCGATGGGGATCCAATTACGGTCACCGAATGGGAAACCCACAAGGACGAAAACCTCGGACCAAAAGGAAGGAATGGCTCCTTACAGTGGTAACTGGGATTTTGTCGGAGACACTCCATGGGACTGGCATACCTACATTGACCCCCTGAAATCAACCACCCCTGGCCTTTTCTCGGCCAATATGGCAGTCCTACGGAGTGTCGGCTGAACTTGGTTGTTTTGGAATATAGATGATAAAGGCCAAAGATTCGGCACAGTTGGAAGACTTCGGATGAGACCACCCCTAAATTGGCCCTTCCTTTAGATCCAAAGCCAGGACAAGCTCCCAGGCCAGAAGCCTGGCCGGTTTCGCCTGAATAGATCCCTTTCCGCCACCTCAATCCGCCAATCAAAGTGGAGCACTTGAATCAACCAAACCTAGCCAACTGATCATGAACCAAGCCCCACACGACCCACCCACAGTTGGAAGATCTAATACTTTGAACATCTTTGAACCCTCCGGACACGTTCGGTGTTTCCTGGTGACAATTACAGTGCCCAGAAACCACACTGTGGGCGGGTCCAAAAACCACGGATCTTGGAGGATGGCATGAATCCTACTCCCCCGCAAACGATCCCATAGAACCTGAGAATTGACCTGTGGTATTTCGACCATTTCCTGAATACGAACCCGACCCTGGTTTTGGGTTTCCATGTGGACCGCAGGGGAGTACATTCATCTCCAACCCTTTCGACCATTGTCCGAAACCACGGATCTTGGAGGGCGTTCGGCCTTGTTAGGGTCCTCTTGGCAGAGGTCCTTCTTTTAATCCATGGACTTGGAGGGAATCCTACATTGATCTTCAACCTTGCCAGTGCTGACATCGTTTCGCCTTGTCGGAGAGCGCAATGCATCGCCAGGGCTCAAGGGCTTTTGGTGGAGGACGCTGAAAATCGCGCCCGCGCCGTCTCACCAGCCCGGGGATCTGGAATGGGACCCTTGGGTTTTGGGGATTGGATCGGAGTGATTTGTGTCCCATACCGGCAGGTGCACATCCTTTTTGGTTTGGGGACATGTGTTGTTTTCATAGGTTTTCCTGGCTTCCGCACATCCGTTCGCTGCTCCACAGCATGCTCTCCACTCACGACAACCCACGACCTCTGACCGGACTGAGGACTGCGGAGAAACGGCCAGGGGTGCTGACCGGGGGTCAATGTAGGCCATATGAAATTCATTCCACCAGCAGTCACATGTCGGGGTGCTATTTTTGAGTCATACATATCCCACACATGGAGTGTTTGGGACAGGTGTGATACCTCGAGAGGGACATGTCTCACAGATTGTCACAGACTCCTTTTTGTGCCCACCCCTCTTGCAAGCCCGCTCTCGGGGTTCTTCACTTGTTCGAACGAGCATTCGGAGGAGTCACGAACCGAAAAGACCAAGTCAAAAGATCGATCTATAAATTGCAATGTGATTTGGAACCAAAAGTTCAAACTTTTTGAACTTCCAGAAGTTAGGACTTCACAAGTCAGACTTTTTAAAAAACGCTTAGACAAGCACAAGCTTTGCACATCATTTGGAAACCAGTGAAACGTCGAAACGCAGCGACTGAGAGAACGGGTTCGACCGCGGAAGCTGCCAGGATGGAACCATGAAAGACCCAGTCCCAACCAGAAACTCATTCATGTTTCCACGGTCCAACCACTTGCTATGTAAAGGATCGCAAGCAAGCCATGAACATCATGGAACAACCCTTAAGTTTCTGGTCGTTTGGGGCTCCAGGATGTCTATTGTGGAATTGGTTTTATAAGTTAATTATTTGCTACATTGCTCGGGTGGCGGTCCACTACGTTCTCCAGGCGGTATTCGGAGCAAGTTCTCCTGCGTGGTTCTCCACCTGATAACTATACCTGGACCCGACTTCCTAGAAAATGGGACATGACCCGAACTATACCAACAGGTAATTAGATCAGATTTGCACCCATTTTCCGAGGTACGGTTCCGAGTCGACTTCGGGGACTTCAGGTCCCCGAACTCGCCTGCGATTCGCAAAAACTGCAGCACAACGGTGTCGCAGGAGATCACCTTGTCGCTGGATGAGCAGATGAGCTTCTGGGTTTATGCTATACTGCTATGCGGTTTTCGGGTGATTGTGAGGTTCCCGGCTTCTGGGTGTTCATCCCCTTGGCATGGGGAATATCATATGAATATGATCTATGTTCGATGTTTCCACAGCTTCTGAATCAGCAACTTCAAGATTTTGTCCATCGAAATCCCGGGTTGGGGTGGGAATATATGGAATATATAATATATCCTACATTGGGATGGTTGACTCGGGGCCAATGTAAGCGTGTATATCTGGAAAACCATAATACAATTTTGGGGTCAAGCGGGCTTGACCATCTTGACCATTATTGTTCTGTCATTACGGCTTTGATTATTTGGAGCCACTTGTGTGAGAGTTGCTACGGTCTTTTATGACTTGTTCAACAGCATGTTGAACACATACGGTTTTGCAATGGGACGCTGCGGGTAGGCCCACCATACTCTGTTGATGTGACCATTTTGGGGGGAGCATGCTCAACAATGAAAAGGCTAGCGTGATCGGTCAACTCCGGCCCCTTTGTCGCACAAGGTCCAAGGACTGCTGTCCCCTTTGTCCCTTTCTTCTTCCACAAGTGCTATTCTTTTTTCAGTGGGTCGGTGCTGTGGACGCGTCCACAAGTACGGACGACGTCCAGCCCGGACGCGTTCTCGGTGACGCATTTATGCGACCGACAGGTCCGTCCAGCGTCCGAGCGTCGCATCCCAGCGGAACATGTTCGGTCGTTTGGAGGGCGACCGTGTGGGGACGTTGAGTCAGTTGGATGTGGTGTTGTTGGTGGTTCCCACAAGAAGCATGACACCAATAGTCATTAAAGCGACCCCAAAAAGGACAAAACATGGGATCCTTTTGTACGACCTCAAGAACGGAGGCACAACGAAAGTCAAGGTAGCAGGACCCTCCAGCATCTCCTCCGGTGACCTGTTGGAGGGTCCTGGTATATACATGAATTAGATTTATACCTAGCACTGTAGCACTTCCAACAGGTGCCCAATGGAGACCTGTAAGTAGGGTATAGGATGGTATAGGGCAGTCTATTGGATACCCAGTGGTTTGGTCAAATCAACGGGGCTCGGCTGTTCTCTTGTTCTCCGAAACGAGCGAGCGATGCTACGTCACCCCAGACTTGCCCAATATGGACTCCGAGCTCCCGAACCACCTCCACATTGAGCGCGTCCCCTCGGTGCGGAGCCCCCGACGTCGGCGGGGCTGAAGCGGAGTCGGGCGAAGCCAAGCGGGTCGGAGCGAGAAGGTCAGAGCGAAACGGTGTGCGGAGCACGGTGGTTAGTCCAGTTCGTCGCTCGGTGCACATGGGTACAAGTATAGACCATTATATCCAATCGTGAACCATTTCACCGATGGTTTGGACAAAAACAGGATAAAGAATGCCGTTGCCGTTCTTTTTTTGGACACTTGAAGATCGGGTCCAGGGTCTTTTGAAAGAGAGGGAGTGTCCAAAAGCCCTCGGGCCACGGTCCCCGAGTGAAAAAGAATGACGTCGACTGGACTCCCAAGCAAACACTCCATGCGACTGCCATATTTAGCCTATAAATGTACCAGGACCATCCAATGGGTGTCCAATGGACTATACGGACACCCATTGGATGGTCCAGGTATACATTAGGGTGGTTGAAAAGGGGTCAATGTTGGCATATGCCGATGCTCTACATGGAGTGTTTGGGCCAGGCCGAGGTCAACTCGACCAGGGTCCTTCGGGGCTCATTGCTTCGTTGACGCAAAAAAACACGACGAACAACCAGCGCCAAAGGAATAGTCCAAAGGGATCCGAAAGAAACATCGGACTTGGGGATGGATTCCTCATAAATTAGCTAATTGTTGATTCATTAATTAGGTCAATCATGCTAGGAAAGCGACCACTAGCTACAGCGGAGACTAACCCCCTTTAACCCCCTTAAAACCAGTCCAGCCGAAAAAATAAAAACAAAACAAGAAGGGGGAAGGTCCCAATGTTCAGTCAGTCAGCTGGACAATAAATCAGTAAACATACCCTAGGGGTCCAGTCGTACCTTCTCAGGTGCGGTTTGGACCCTAGGGGCCCCTACATAACTATAACTAGTGTCTCCAATCACCTTCTGAGACGGTACTTGGGATCCCTAGGGTGTAGATAGACACCTGGGAGCCAACTGGGGAACCGAAGAAGAAAACCAGGCGACTGTGGACTGCTCGCCAGACGCCTTGCACCCAAATTATCAAAATTTGATTTCTAGTCAAGTGGATCCACCTTCCGCGGTTGGTAACAAACTCACCCCAGCTACTCACATTATTTCATCGAGGATCCAGCAGTTCCATGGACTTGGGTGCGGCCCCGACGTCGAAGAGAACCCGTCGTCGTCACTGGAGTCGAGTCTCGTGCCGAACCAGGTCGGCCCCAGTCCACCTGTTTTGGCGTTCGGGTCGGGTCCCAGTCCATGCCGAAACGGCCAGGGTGTGGTTGACTGGGGCTCTGTCTGGAGCAGTGACTGGCAGTCCCGGACAGGTCATCCATGGCGTCCGTTCCGTCGGGTCCGCCTCTTTCGCGAGCGCTCGTCCCGTACGTAGCGTCCTAGGCCAGGAGCCCCGTTCGTAGCTTCTTGTTACTACTAGCTTGTTACTAGTACCGTGGCACTTGTTTCTACTAGCTTCTTGTTCCTAGTAGCGATGCCAGGAGCCCCTAGTAGGCTCGGTCCCGCCATCGTCAGGTGGACTTCTCCTACGTGCGCGAGCGCTCGCGCGAGACCCACGACGACTCGGACTCAGCCTGAGGTTCGGGCGAACTCAGTGGGGGGCCGTCGTGGTGAATCGTGGCGTCGGCGTTTGGGTTTTGGTTCGGGGCCCTAGGACCCCTGCCCACCATTTTTGGTCATTTGTTTAAAGACCTGTATAGACTATCCTGCAACTTCCCCCTGTGCTTTTTTTTAGCCTCTGAGCTGCTTTGTTGAAATTTCAACCTCTTTGTAATGGTTCCGCCTCCTTCAAAAAAATCTGCCTCTCGCAGTTTGGCTGGAACCTACTGAACATACATGAACATACCATGGTGGTGCTGATCATGTTGGAAACATTTGACATATCTTTTCTACCAAATTCCATGTACCCACCGTGGTCATTCCATCAGGGATCAGAACAGGTGAAAGAATTGTCTTAAAATCCGTCATTGCCATGGGACTGCATGGCGCCATTGTACTCATCAACATCCTTGTCGCAACTCGGTGGAACTTGGTGAGCGGCCCGACGTGGTTCGATCCCTATCCCACGCACTTTTTTTCTAGCTTCAGGTAGTGTCGAGCTTCCGCTTCCGATGAAAACGCATGAGTGCAATCTTTGCCTTCACCTTGTAAGCATGAACCGTGTTTGCAACAACATGTTTGTGTCCCACCCGTCGGCTCTGTCTTGCGATTCTTCCAACAAAGTCCTCTGCCATGCTACAATCGTCATTTGCTGGGTTCCAGCAAAACTCATCCAGAGCGCACACAGAGAGCCTGTGTTGAATATGTGCCATGCCATGCATTTTAGGCACTTGTGCAAAAAGCTGCAACCGACGTTGAAGGCACAATTGCGCAAGCCACGCGTATGAATGAATAAATTGTTGACAGTTCTTTTGCAGCTTGATGCGGCAACTACTTGTGAACCAAACCCCATGACGATGAATCCCCTGCAAAGAAAGGCCCTGCTCACATGCCCGGTGGATATAGTGAAGCAGCTGCGAGTCTGGATTGCTCACAAGATGTAGGCCGGAGCACCATTTTAGCCACCTCAACAAAACGATTGAATCAGATCCTTTGCAGCCAACCCATGGAAAGGTTGTCTTCTTTGCTGCGTGAAACTTTTCACGGGTAAATGCACGAATGCCTGTCGGCCTGGCCGAATGCGCATCACACCACAAAGAAAACTGTGCCCATGCACGCTCAAGCCTGGCATCAACTGATTTGGAGTCCCCAGCAACAAAGTCAAAAAAACATTCAAAGGCCAGCAGCATCACAGAAGATGCTATGAAGTTTCGTGCAACACCCAGCCGAAACAAGTGGAAGGGGTCCAACCTGAACCATCTAGCTGCCAAACCTGTCGACCAATCCTCAAACAGCACATGTTGAAACGGCGGCGGGCTGTTCCACGGAGGAGAGTGAAACAGAGTACCCTTCCAGGAGGCATCCTCGCGAAAATCCTCAAATGGATGGTTGATACCGCCAGCAGCACATAGGTGGCAACAAGGAATAAAGTTCTTGTGCCCAACATTTTGATAAGAACGGTTCAGCACACCTGTTTTGGCATGGTACTCCAGGTCTCCGATCATACCCAAAATAGCAAAGTGATAGACCTGACCATTGTCAAGGGCTATGCCATCTACTGATAGTGTCCCCAAATCGTGGGAGATAGCCCCAAGCACAGACAGCAAAAGCCCAGGAAGTTTCTTGAACTTCTTGCTGGGGAACGCGCACAGCAAGAAGTATGTCAAATAGGTGAGGTGCTTGGAATTGAGTTTCTGCGCCAATGGGTGGGCTGTGTCAAAACCACCATAGGTTTTTCTAGTCTGACATGTGCACTGAAAAGAATCAGTGGCATTTTTTTTCACAGTGTCTATTCCAAGAACTGGATGCAGACTGATTACTTCAAGAGGTTGCTTTTTCAAAGTACGGCCACCATCACCGTGGATCATCAAAGGCACACAATATCTCAAACGGACTGTGCTGTCATTGTCATCGGCCAATTGAAAAATCTGGTGGGTGGGATGCTCTTTTCTGTAAAGCCCCCAAAAGGTTTCTAGCATGTTTTGGGCATCCTCTCCAGGGTCCAAGCCACCCAGAAGAGTCCACGGATAGTTTCGCAGCAAGTAGCGAAGAACATCCCTGCCCCTCAAATACTCGAGTTCTGCCAATTGACCGTTTTCTTCAAAGCGATGAATGGAAGATGGAACGCTCCTGATGTTGAAACTCAACAGTTTGTTTATTCATCCAAAGAACTTCCAAGAAAACAAAAACATCAACCTTCAGAGAAGGCAAGGTTCATTTCCAAACCAAAACGCTTTGTGGCTCGCTTGTACTGCCGTGCAGCGTTTGTCTTGCTTTGCCCCATCATGGACTTTGTAGAATGGTGCAGGCCACTCAATGGGTGACCCGCCATCTCCTCTTGCAAGGCACTCCCATGCTCCTGCAGTGTAGAAGCAGTTGCCTCCGCAGGTGCAGGGTTCAGAGGGTGGGGATGGCAGGTTGTCCGGCTAAATTAATTCGCAATCCTTCATTACCAAAACACGAACTATATAATGAGCCAAAGGGCTCCATCAGCGATCTTCTCAACAATGTGTTGCACAAGAGGTCCAGCTGAGCTGCCGTCAGAGGAATCCGGTTTGGAACCTGGCTGGGCCACAAAAGATTCTATAGGGTCACTTGTTATGACTGTTGCGTTGCAGCCCAAAAGCTGGTTTTACGAGCAGAGCTTGGCGTAGGATCCATACGCAGTGAAATTAAGAGTTCATTGGATGTTCTATCACCCAACGACCCAGCACAAGGATATACCTGGACACCTTGTGTGAGACCCACTTCAAGCCGCTCACATTCTGCAGTGCAAGCGAAGGGTGGCACAGGGCTGACGGCTTACAGTTTTCGAGAGCAACATGATCATGACACACATCTATATATAGGAGTGCTTCAAATTCCTATAATAAATTGCACCACCTTTCCACGCACAAAGGAGCGACTTCCCCGCAAAATCACATATGGAGTCTACTTCCTACACTATTTCTTTTCTACTTTAACTTTGGCCTTCGGCTTTGGAGCAGGAGTCGAAGGGTTTTCCTTCTTTTCCCGTTCCTTTTGCTCCTTCTTCAGCTTGGACTTGATGTGGGAGATGAAGGGCCTCAGATGAGCCGGTTCTAGCGTTAAATCTGGCGAATGGATACGATCAAAGCCATATTGTAAACACTCGGTAACTGGGAACCAGGCTGGGAACGTGTGCACAGATTCAGAGCATCCACGCACCTTGGCATGAGAGAAGGAAGGCCAGGCTGACCGTAGCTCCAACATTGCGGTGACTGTGCTTGAGATTCGCAGAGATGTAATGAAGAAACACAAAACCCTACGAACCCACTCTAGCACCTTTTAGTGCCAATCAGCAGTTCCCCTAGCTGAGAGACTGCAGCCAATCAGTGAGCTGCACCAGGCACAGGCTGAAGGTAAGAGGGCAAGGATATGGTTTAATTGTCAAACTTATCCAACACGTCTTGCCTGGTCGGCTCTTCCACCTGTGACATAAGTAAAATAAGGAGGTCCTGCGTGGCCTTTCCCACCCAAACGTCCCTCTCCACCGGTGTTTGGTGCATTTCTGCAGCCAGAACAATTGCAAAATTCAGCGATCAATGCTGCTTCCAGCATCTTTACTAGAGATGCATCGCTGCTCATAAAAACAATCCACATTGTACTAAAGTTCTTGCGCAAGTAATCTGGAAATCGCTGAGCAGGATGGGCCGTGATTCCGATCTTGAACACACAAACCTTCAGCCCTATGTGTTCCCTAAAGGCTATCACTTGCTGCCTGGCATGAGCCAGGATCTTCCCACACGTAGGACTGGGAATCTGAACCCTCAATGTTCTGTTGTGGATGAGGCAGCGCTGGAAATCTTCCCAGAGAACAACATCCAGCAAGGGATGACTGCGGCAAACGGAGTCTAACAATGCAAGGATGTCTTGCTTCTCAGAATCCTTGCGCAGCAAAAGTTCTTCTCCGTGACCAAAAAATGCGCACGCAAACATATATATATATACACCTTGCAAATATGCACACTCTATAGAGGAAAGCAAAGTGTTTCTTAATGTCTATGAGTCATCCAAAGGCTTACCCACACTGCCCAAAGCACTTGCAGGGTCGGAGCCGGCTCGAGCAGCTGGGTCAACTTTGGAGAGAGGAGCTTCGTCGGACAGCTTTTGGAACTGCCCAGGTGGTCTTGTAAAGGAAGGCCTATAGCTGGTTTGCAGCAAAATGCTATAAACTGTTCATATATTCTAAGGTGCTGGGACCTCCGTTCTTTCCTGTGTATACAAACACCTGTTGGCTCTTTCAACCCTTCGACACATAAAAGATCCATCTTCAAACAATAAATATGATGTGTTTTGGGATCATTTGGTGATATATCGATAGGTTAAAGTAAAATGTTGTGAAAAATCCCCTTACATGACATTGAAAGATTAAAAGCTGTTGTTGTCCAGCGGGTTTCTGTTTCTTCGTCTCACCACTCAGCTCCAGCGCAGCTTGGGCAGCGCACCGCTTCTTGCCGGTGTAGGGGCAAGTGTAAGTTATTAGATCCAAGAAGTCTTCCAGGAAGTCTTCCATGCGTTCACGGCTTTCAGGTCAGACCCAAATAGATCGATGACATGTTTGCATGGCACCCCAAAATCTTTTCGGGGCTTGGATCAATCTAGCCAGTAAAACAGACATGCACATCCATTGCTCCAATTTGTTACTTCACTCTTGGCAAGCCTGTGCTACAGCTTGTTTGAGCCCACTACGAGTCCAGCATGCACACAGGACCACCTCTACCACGGCAAGCTCCCACAGGCTGCCCAGGCACAACCTTTGGGCATTGGTGTACTCAATCTTGAGCGTGTCCTGCTGCCTCGGTGGTGTTGTTCTTGTTTTTGAGGGGAAAGACAGAGAGACCGTTTTAAAAAGATAAGATTTCACCCCCTAGTAAATTCAATTACAATATTCATTCAAGCTGCTCCCGGTGGAAGCCGTCAACTATGCCGGTGGTATTGATCGCAGTGAGTTTGTCTGTGAGGTTGCTCACACTCGTGTAGATGGTGTCCGCACGCTCACTCAACCTAAAGCGTGGTCGAACGAACAAGCCCACCACACCAACGTATTATTGGGTATCCTGGCCACACAGCCAAGCAAAGACCACTGTTTATAAATATGTCAAAAGACTATTGGGGTGAAGGAACTGAGAGATGTGGTCAGGAGCATCATCGAAACTCGTAATGGTCTCATGCAACCCTGCAAGTTTTGCACTCCACTTTGCTAAGCATGTGAGCACACGTGTGATATACGAGCTGGGTAGTCCATCAGCATCCATCTCAGGCCAAGTGATGGTTTTCAAAAGCTTGGTCTTGTCATTCTCACCATCCGCATCAATGATCACCGTAGGGTCTGGTCAGGTTCCATCTTGAAGAGGGGCGTTTGACAAAAGGAAGCAGTGAACACAGCATGTATCATATATTCAGACACAGCGAAACTATTTCACATAGAATTCTTTATGGCCACACCTGTATCATCTTTGTCCATGGCCATTATGGCCGGCATATTGCATTCTTCTTGTTTAAGCTTATCATATTCCGTCTCGGAAAGGTCTTCCTCCTCTTGCAGAATCTCACGCTTCCGCTTCCTGAGTACCCCACCAGAACACTAGAATCATCCTGATCAGAGCTCGGACTGTAGACTGCACTAGAACATATACATATATATTACATATAAGCGTCAACCGGCGACCTGCCATCTTCTTTTCTACCCAGAAAAGTTCGACGTGCTTCTCATACTTGTCTCTCCTCAGGCGATTGGATCACAAAAACTCAACAGCAGAAGAGGCAGGCGATCACAGGGTAAGGGCATGTTTGCATGTGCAGGCAGAATTCCGCTTAAATCCAGGCCCACTCTTCGCACAATCACTCTTGATTGATTTGATGCGCTGCCTCAGACGCAGCTGGCAGGTAATTGAATAGCTAGCAACTTGAAAACCAATTGAGCTGACGACTGGGTAAGAGATTTCAGTCGATTTGGAGTTTTTATACTCACCCCAAACCAGAAATTAAGCCAGGCTACGGAGGGATATTGGCATCAATCATGTCTTGTTCGGACATAAACTCACCATCCACCCACAGGTCCTGCTGATTGATGGACTCCACCCGCCTGTGCATCTTCTTCAAGAAGATGTCCTGTCAGAGGAGCAGCAGTGCTGAAAGGAACAAATCAGGGGTGGCCTTCAGACACCGGCAAAGGACTGCAAAAGAAATCGTTCAAAACCATATTCCGATCTATATATACAGCCAAGGTCCTTCTGGCCCTGACATTCCTCCCACATCTTTAGTACTGCATCACGACCCCCATTTTGGAGATCTTTCCACTTCTCCAAAAACTCCGGGGGTACCAGCAGGGAACCGTCCGCACGTGGAGTCATAAGTCTGCGGATTTTCTTCACCTCGTTCTTGTCGACCGATACCTTGGAGGAGGCCCCCCTTGGGAAAAGAACAAAACTCTATCATGACATGCCAAAAGTCATCGTAATGCCCAAGGACGGACGGAGCACTTCCATCACCCGAGGACCCTTTAGAAGCCCCCATTGGTTCAGCACCAGAAGCAGGGCTTCCTTCAGGAACCAACTCTTCCGGAACCTGACCAGTGTACGATTCAATGGACATGAAAAAGCTAGGTTGCTTTGGCATTGATGGCTTGTCATGGTGTGTGCAAGCTACCTGAAAGAGAGCTAGGCACCTTACCGGAAAAAGCGTGTCGATATGGGCAAGTAGAGGATCAGTCTTGGGGCTTGTTGGGCCTCCTTCCTGGACACTCTCATCCACACCTTCCATAACGAGGTATGGGTCATCCACATCTGCCAACTCGAGGTATGGGTCATCCACACCTTCCATAGTGAGGTATGGGTCATCCATACCTTCCACAGGGCAGTCATCCAGTGGATCAGTGAGGGTCCCCTGCAATGCAGCCACCAGCGCAGCGTCCTACAACAGACATCATTGCAGTGGATGGCATATTTAGAAGACAGTTTCAAGTTTTTGCCCTCACAAGTCTGCCATCATAAAGTCAAGGTTCCTCATCCAAGGGGGTGGTCGTAGGACACGGTGAAGGGTGGGTAGCCTTGCATTATCCCAGTCGATCATAAAAGGTTCCAGTTCAATAGTTCCACATGAACACTAGCACTAGCAGTGAAAACCAGTTGAGCCATATGTTGGACAAGAAACGGATTTATTGTCTTCACCCTCGTTGGTCAAATCTGCTGGGATGGTCTCTTCATCGGGCCCTAATTGACAAGATTGGGCCCCTGCATCATTGACAAAGCTCCTAACAGGAGTCGGCACTGGTCGTGCCAGCTCAGACAGCACACCCCCTGGTGACACTTCAGGAGCTTTAGCATCACTGTCCATCATCGCTGCCTTCAGTTCCTGGCTGGCCGCGGCTGCAGAGAAGGGAAGGGTCAAAGGATTATATCTATAATATGCACTATATGGTGTATATAAATATGGGATGCCTTTGAATCTCTCGGTTTGAGCCCTCGCAAAATTCAGTCCTCAAGTTCGGCCAGCTGATTTTGAGCATCCTCCGAGTCCAACCCATCAGGCCCTTCCTCTAACTTCACAGCAGTAAGTCCAGCCATCAATGTTTCACTGGAAAACACACGGGAAGGCAAGTCCAAAGGCATGTTGACAACACCCTGCAAATGGCTGCGGTGCAGTGAAACCTTGTTTGATACCCCACAATGCTCATTTTCAGGAAGTGTGTAACCTGAAAATTGGGGTCCGGGGAATTCCGCCTCTGGACCACCAAGTTCCGCCTCGGAACCGGGGAAATCCGCCTCTGCGTTTCGATGGTTTTCAGGAAGTTTCCTGAAAACTAGGATGTTCAGGAAGTGTTCTCAACACTGGGGCGTTCAGGAAGTTGCCTGAAAACTATGCTTTTCAGAGGGTTCATGAACAGCAAGGCTTTCAGAGGGTTTCCTATATACAAACTCGGATGTTCAGGAAAATTCCTGCATCATGAACACTGTGGCTTACAGGGTGTGTTTCAGGAAGTTTCTTGAACACTGGGGCTTTCAGGGAGTGTTCTCTTTAATGTGTTCAGGGTGTGCCCCACAGACTGATAATTCATGAAGTTTCCTGAACATTGAATGAGCTTCTAACCTGCATGGATATATCATACACTAGCTGTTTTTATTTCCTATATATAAACTTTCCAGTATTGGGGCTCATGCAAACTCGAAAGGAAGCTTCGCGAGAAGAGTAGTTCATGAATTAAAACCACCGACCACTTCATCAATTAATATGTTTTTCATTCGGATGGTCTGCCAGTGGAAAAGCCGGGGCCGATCGATCCGGTCGATGTTTCAACCCCATGAAGTCACGACTGCATGCATGCATGGTAAAGTTTCTGTACGTCCCATGTTTCTGAAAACAAAGGTTTGTCAACACATGAAAGAGCACACAATCAGTTGAGCAAGCAACTCGTCAGCTTTCCATCTTTTTTTGCTAACAACGCATGCAGTAAACCTTCAGGCATGTGTTTTCTAATTGGAACCAGCTATAGACGTAGCAAAGCCTACGCAAGAACTGAAACAACAAAATCCTGCAGTACAAGTTAGGGCTCATCCCTCAGATTGAAGTAGGAAGCACGGCCCTCCACTCATTGGGAAGACGGAGCAGTTTGGAGCCCCGTACGTATTCTATCACATCCCTCAGGTCACCCTCTTCCTCCCAAGAGACCGATTCATGATCCCATGGCATCCGGGCAAAGAGTGAGATCGTAGATTCCAAGGGAACCTGGCTGGCAAACATCACAGTCAGTCAAACCAACAAAGACACCACTTTCGGAAGAGTTGTACCAGGGTCTGAGGATCAACATCAGGTCTTTACACTCTTTGATTTGGACCGCCTTTTCTAGGATTTTTGTTGATCCTTTGGCCAAACTGATATAGCACTGAACTCTAGCGGCATACACCATATACCCATGCAACGACTTGTGGAGTCCCAAGGCGACGCCTCGACAGGGAACTTGTGAGATCCGGAGTCCTCACGGAGCTTTGGCAGCAATCGGGTCACGGTGCCTGCAAACTTGAAGGTGTAGTGCCTGGGGCCGGATGCAGGATTTGAGATTTCAATAAAGCAGGTATCAGAAGGACAATCGTAGCTGCGCACGAACCCTTTCAGTTAGGCTACTGTGTCAGCTTGAGGTTGGCATTACCTTTCCAACGGGTATTCCCTTGGGCATCCTTGTAACGAATAGTTGTTTTCTCACAACCTTCCTTCTCTTCCTCCGTCAACGGACCCAAGTCAAGGGATCCGATGCGGCGACTGTTCGCCCACACCCATGTCCTTTTCCAAGAGATGGAGCCATACTTCCGCATCCAAAAGGCAGTTTTGTAAGTCTTAGTGGCAGGAAACCAAGGCAGCGAGGCATTTCAGAGTTGATGGCCACAAAGAAAACAAGAGAAGCTAGGACACAATCCCCTTAATTGTGTGTCACCCCAACCTGCACAACTTATTATTTGGTATACATGGTCAAGGAACCAGAATGCCAATAGCCTTGAGCTTTTGAAGCATCCACACATACCGAGGATGAAAGGCAAGAAAACTCCCAGAAGGGTTCTCCATGAGGTAGGTTCCACCTGAAAGAATAGTGATCCAAATCAGAATCACTGTCCTGGAGACCAACGTTGCTGATATGATAGAGGTTCAGAGCGGTTCAGGTCAAAACCTCCAGTAAAAGCAAAGCTGCTGCGCACACACATGCATGCATATACATGAACATACAATGTGATTTCCAGGCCCTTGTCCTCGATGTCATTTTGTTGGATCGTCTAACCCCTATGTAGTTTTCATTTCCCAGAGGTGTTAGTAGTGTTCTCCCCGTGCTGTGCCTGTTCACGGGCACATAAGATGAACAAACAATCGCGAAGAACGCCACCACTTGCTCCCACTCTGACGTCAATAGTAGATGAATGCATAGCCTTAGCCCCACCAAACCAGGACTGACACCTTTGTTTGTTTGTACAAATCTTGTACAAAGGTTCAGCAAGAACCAAAAGTAAAAAAACAACTCTTACCTTTTGCGTACTGTCCCACTACAAAACATTGGTCACCTAAGCACAACAGTTTGAGGAACACTAGGCCGGCATTGCCATTGATGTCCATTGGTCGACGTTTTCCTTCCCTTTGACGGTGTGCACCATACTGAATATCAACAGCAGCTGTAGAAAAGCCACACCATTTTGCCAAGCTCGCGATTCGCCCCACCCCCGCATAAAACTCCAGCAGTTGGTATTCATTCTGAGGCTTTGGGATATCCAGAAACCAAACCAAGATGATCAAGAAGACAACCACCTTGGAGGAAAGAGGTCGAACGAGAACCCAAACCGCTGAAGAAAACTTGCTGCGCTTTAATTCGCATGTTTTCACAGCACAGTGTTTCTTTCCTTTACCACGTTTGTTTTGCTTTATTGGTCCAGACTCGTTTGACACATATTGTTGAGGTTTGTTACTAGTACGATACGTCCAAGGTTCCTTTGGTGTTCCCATTTCAATAAGCCTCTTGAGCAAGATGTCAAATTGGGCAGGCGTCATTGCTGCAGGTATGAGATATATCGATCACCAAACATGAAAAGCAACCTTTTTGATTCCGAGCTTCGGTGTTGCATGTGCATGCATATATTAATGGATCGATGCATATATATATATACGGATGCGGTGTCACACAGGCGAATGGAGCCAAAACCTTGAACATACATGCACATCCATGCATGCAAGCATGCCACCATTTAGCAGAAAGGTAATTGCAATGCGTATAGTGCTTGCTGAGAAAATCAAACTGAACACTCGAAGTTTCTTCCCTTTGTCATTGAAAGTTTAGCCAGTGTTGCCAGAACTTGCAGATCCAAGTCCAAATTTATCAAAGCTGATGCACCCTCTCCGCAAGCCGTACATGTCGAAGTCGCTGGCTACCGTTGGCTATACCTGGCCATGTCGAAAGCAAATCGTTGGTTTTCTATGTGTTTTAAGTCTATATCTATAGAATGAACCTCTTTGACAATCCCAAACGCTTGAGAAAACTAAAGTTAGTCTCTAAGCCACTCTGAAGCATCATATCGTTTTGGGCCAGCAGATCTTCACGCATAACACGTTTGAACCGGCTCACATGGCACTACTATTCCCTGAGTTTCAATTAAAGACAGGGGCTGCGCATAGAAATACGCGCATGCATGCACATGCGTGCAACAAATTATAAGGCTTTGCTGCCATAAGGCAAAGCCACAAAACGGACACTGCTCGCTGTGAACACTGCAATTTAAAAGCTGCCTCCCCAACAAAAACTACTGAACAATATATATAAACTTTGACGAAAACAAGTTATTTGAAGTATAAGTGGTCGTGCGTGGTTTTGAATCCAGGGAGGGCTGCACCAGAAGCACACCAAGTTTGTATCGAAACACGTGTGCTCGGGATGCCCATCATCTATAGGTCCTAGAATGCAAGTGCCACATTCTCAGTTCAGCTCGAGATCCTCCTCCATGCAAAGACAAGTCTGCAGGAGGAAATCCTTCGCATGAGCCTCGGCCAACTTCTTGAAATCCAAGACAGGGCACTTGATCTCACCCTTCTTGGCATCCGTTGGCGAATAGCTGTTAAAGAACGCCATGCAAGATTCCCACCACTCAGCCTCCAGGGGTTTCAAAAGGCTCTTTGAGGGGCATGTTGGGGGTCTAGCAAGCCTTGGAATTTGAGAGGCCCAGGAACAAAGAACATGTTTGAACAACATGTGCCTCGAAACTGCTGCATGCAAAATTTGATTGCACGACATAGGGGCGGATGTTCTCCACAAAACAATCGCGAATGGCCATCCAACGGTCACGAGCAGGACTGCTTTTGGGAATAGGACGCCTTGCAAAGCTCTTAATCTTTTCCCCCGCAGGCTCAGCCTTCTCCTTTGTCAGATCAACCTCTGCCTCGATCTTCCGCTTTAGGCTCACCTCACCTCCGGAAGCATCAATGCCCCGATCTCGGTCCTGCAGTGTGCAGGGATCCCACCCATATGCACGATTGATCGCCTCAACCCCTTCCTTTGACACGTGAACCCACACAACAGGAGTCTCATTTTTGTCCAAACACTCGTCCTCAGCTGCATCAGAAGCGGGCTCACTGGTGCCGGGCTCATTCGAGCTGGACTTGGCCTTGGCCTTGGCCTTCCCTCGAGGTTTGGGCTTTGGAGACGAAGTCTTCCTTGCCTTCTTCAGCGGAGGCTCACATTCTTCCTGCTGAGGTTTTTCCTCATCGGAATCAGGAATGAACTCTGGCTCAACAGACCCTTGCTTTTTCCCACGGCCACCACGACCACGGCCCTTTCCACGCCCTCGGCCACTGCTGTTTTTCTTGCCCTTGTCCTTGTCATCCTTCTCAGCGCATGAGTTCTTGATGTCCCATTGATGGCACCTCAGCACTAGTGGGGGTTCTTGCAATGGTTCCTCCCTCAAAGCTGCTGTAGCCTCAGCCCGAGCACCCTCAGAAGATTCCAATGGTTTCTCCATCAAAGCTACTGTGGCCCCAACACCCTCAGAAGATTCCATTGGTTCCAGCGCCCAAGCTGCTGTAGCCTCAGCTCCAATACCCTCAGAAGACAAGTGAGGGCAAGCTACCTCACACCGGCTTGTCTCAGGATCCTCAGCATGCAGACTTGGAGGAACAGCCCCCACGCTTTGGTCTTTGCCCTCCACCGGTGAGGGAACGGCTGAACTGGTTTGATCGTGAGGATGTGATCCAGCAACTTCTCCAGGCAAGGCATCCTCAACATCCACCGGTTCAATCATGGGTGGAGTTGGACGGCTGGAGTTGGAGGCTGCTTCCCTATCCAGAGCTGGTTGCTGGCCAGCTTCCTGGACTAGTGAAGACACATCGCATGGAGCTGCTTCAGGTTGGTCTCCACAACTTTCCGGTTGTGAGTCAGCCCCACCATTCATCACTCCATTTGCACCTGATTAGGGCAACTGTAAATTTCCTTTTGAAACATGTCAAATGAACTATTTCATGTGCCATGACTCCAACACGTTTTTGGTATATTTAAAATTATCATGTGGGATGCGAGCGAGCCTGCTCCAAGGGCAGTTGAAAATTCAGTGGCCAAAGACCGCCGAAGCAGATCATCTGATGGTTCCTCTGCGTCGGAGCACTCGTCCAAATCAATCACTGAACCTGTCCTTGTCAATCCACTAGCAATGGGTGAGGCGTCATAATGCTGAGTATCCTGGTTGTCCAAAACCGTGCTCACGTCCTTCTTCGCCTTGCATTCCAGAACTTTCCTGAGACAAACGTGCAACCAAGGTCAGCAAGGAAATAATTGCAAACAATCCGAAAAGTGTGGAAAGATGCGGATTCAAACAATAAACATACTTTCGATACCTGCAATTAGAAGCTATATAGGCCATATATACATGCAGCTATAGGAAAAACATACTGCAGCAACAAAACACAACCCAGGGTCTTAAGATATGCGATCCTCTCCTCAACCTCTTGCTTTGAAAGACTCTTGACATCCTGGTAGCCTTTCTGGATTGGCTTCACCTCGAGCTTGACATCTGTGGCTTCAACAGCCTGACAAAGGACATCCTGGGAACTGGGTGCTGCTGGCTCAACTGGGTGTGCGGTGGTGGTGTCCTTGGTCTGTTCACCATTGACTTCAACACTATAGGGATCAGCTTTCACAACCCAGTGACACAAGTCATCCTCCGTGTCGGAATCATCCACCTCAACAAGTGGTGGCGCTGGTAGCAGTGTGCTGCGTCGCAGGCGGACGTTCCAATGCTTGAACAACTCGTCATAGAAGGGGTCCACTGAAGAATCCTCAGCTCAGGCATGGATCAGTAAAGTCTTTGAGTCCCTGGGCTATATGATATATTGTTTATAATTCCCAGAAGGCTCTCACTGTATACCACCAGGAAAAGCACAAAGAACAGGCCAGCATATCAGTGACCTGAGCCAAAACAAAAGAAACTCAACCTTCAGCTAAAGATCTCTTCGATGCGGCGACCCCTCGGCACCATCCTTGTCAGACCCCGAGCGGCGACAGCCATAAGAAAATAGTTTCTTCAAGCCCCACGCGTCAAGGTGAACTTTAGGAGCATCAGGAAGCAAGGAGCAAATCGATCTCAGGCGCAGGACCTACCAAGGAAGAACTGTACGAATAAACACAATTTTAGGGGTGATAAAACATGAGAACATGTGCATGCACCTATGTGGTAGTTAGGATAACTTGGGTAACAGTTGATTTAACACCCGGCGCAAGTTTAAAGTAACCAGCACCTCCTTCTTCAAACGTGTCACTGATGGTGATTTGGCGCTCGACTGCTGTGTACACCACCACTGGGCAAGAACCCGAAGCGGGTCACAATTCAAAGCAATGCCAGCCATGGTTGGAATTCCCACTAGTTGATCATTGACCCACACAATGAGGCATCCCTTCTCCCGTAAGCGGTCTCTAATCCTGCGGTCTCCCTCAAGAAGGTCCGCTAAACTTCCCACTGGTGGCGACTCCACAGCATCATCCACTGGCACCATGGCAGGGGGGCAAGACATATTTCTAATATATGATATATGTTAAACTTGATCCTTTCGTGGTTCATGAATATAGTGAACTTGCACATGATGATCTCTCGAGCGAGCTGCTGAAACGGAAAGATCGCTCGTTCACCATGGGCATGCGTTAGACATTATCCATGCAATACAATACAAAACATGTTGCACATCGATCCCAGAAAACCGTGGAATGACTGCCCGTGGCCAAGGAAGCAAACAGGGCAGTGATGCCTGCAACAGCGGCTGAGAAGATCAAAAAAGGGACCACCTGCGGGTGCTGCGCAGACGGGGGGGCTCACTCACCAGGACTCACCATGGCTTGAAAAGCCAACCGGGTGTGCGTGCATGGGAACTCCATGACTTTCCAGATGAGCTTTTGTCACTCAAACTTTTGAACACACGTTTGTTTCCATGCGCCCACACCTCTTCATCATCTTGATCACCATCACTCCCAGCTGCACAAGCCATGCACAGCTCCATTCAGTGAGATAAGGACAAAGCCCGCAGTAAAGCTCAACAAAGATTTATAAAACGACTGCCCACACCATTATTGTTTCCTCATGGCCTATAGCCGATTGGCATTATTTGAGGCCTACATGCCACGCCATCATGTAGGTTGGCATAGGTGTCCTGATCCTGTTCTGCATTCCTGGGTTCCACACGCTTGGTCCAAAAGGCATTGAGCAAGGAACCTTGCCGCTCAGCAGTGGCCTTGCTGATTTACAAGGGTAATATGGTTGGGTTCAGAAAGAAACTATGTCAGAGAAGTCTTGATAGGTGTCAAGTTGCACCACATCAAGGTGGCAACATACAAGATCAACCAAATATTCACTTCTGCCTCTATCATTTTTGTTCAGCCTCTCCAGAGAGAGAGGTGTTTTCCCCATAGAGAGGCAGCAATAATGCATGCCCGGAAGACGTAGGATTATAAGTTTCTACTCAAGGATCTCACGCTACAAAACCTGTGCCAGGTCAAACCAAGTTTCTTTAAGGTCTTCGAAGGCCCGGGGCGGGATAGCCGGAGAAGATCGAAATAATGCACTTGGAATCCGTGGGGAAACTTCCCGGACCGTCGCAGGTGTCGTTCCAGTCCAAGCAGGCGATCCATGTAATCACGTAGGAATACTGAGCCAAGATCATCTGGCCAAGCTCAGCTCCAGTGAGGACGCTACGATCGGGGCTCCTGGCATCGCTACTAGGGGTTCCTGGCCTTACTACATACTACTATAGGTAGTAGGAGCGATCGGACGCTACGTTCGGAGCAAAGGGCATCGCTACGAACGGAGCGATCGGACGCTCAAATCTCACCATCTTCACCTCTCCAGTTCCCGAAGGTCACATGACCATGACCCGATCATAACAGGTACCAAATTCTGGTACATGTTGGTACCCAATTGTATCCACACACTCCATGTATCGAATACGTGCTGATCAGTTGCGGTGATTTGGGGGGGTCAATATATAGAGTGTAGATGGGAGATACGCACAGTGTATGGGATATATATATATATACACGCACTGAGGGTCCAGGTAGATGTGCTTCCTAGGTCGTTTGCCGCTGCCTGCAGCTGCCTGCCGTAGAGATCGAAGTGTACAGTTCCTCCAAGACACCATGCAGGTAAGGAATTTTCCACATGGTGATGCGTTTATGGCATGCCCTAGGCCCTATGTAGCATCATTAGGCTAGATATGGATGCATATGTTTGATACAGTTCATGAATTCTTTAAGGTGCGATCCAACCCAGTCCAACCTCAGGGTCAGCTTCCATTCCATTCCATTTAATCCAGACAAACTCATACCAAAAACATGGGCCATGTTCAGCCTTCATGATTGCTCTTGGTGGAATGCCAAATTTTGGCACCCGGGTGGATCCAGGCAAAGCACGGTGTCAGTTTGGAACAGATGGACTCTGTCGGTCGACCATTGTGTATGGAATAGTTATACTCATCTACCTCAGTATTTACCATCATTGACGTCCACTAATCATAATTAATGTACAATCCCAGTCTGGGCTGATGATTCGTTTCCTGTGCGACATCGTGGCCACTGGAATCCACGTGTGGTCTTGTAAGAATGGGCCTCGACTGCTACGCTCTCGGGGACGACTGCTACGAGTCACCCCAGGACTCGACGAGTCTCAAGTCTTAGCGGCCAAAAAAGTGTGGGGTCCATGGTCAGGGGTGGACCCAACGATGACCCATGTGGATGAATTCCATGACCCGGACACGATGGAATTGGAATAGGACTGCCGATCAAGCCAGACCCCCTGGCACCACTACCACCCCTGGCCGTTTTGAAGGCAGTCCTATTCCAATCCCAATTCCATCGTGTCTGGGGGATGGACCCATTTCGAGGCCCGGCCTCGCTCGCCATCGACCCCTCAAGCTATCATCCGCTTGGATGGAGGCAACATGAGGCAACCAGCGGATGTGAGCCGTCCAGCCTGTGGTTTTGTTCAGACCGGTCGCGTGGGGTCAGATCGTTGGAGCGAGCGCTCGAGCTATGGTCTCCTTCGTGCGTAAGTGGATGGGTAGGAGGGTAGCATGGATGGCGTGGCAGGACCTCACAATGTAGACATTTGAGACCTGGATTGGAGAATTCAGAACCACTTTCTACGATTCCCAGCAAGTCCAAAGGACGGGTTAAACTGGTGCGTTAGCATAAAGGACGCATTTCACCTCCCAACTTCCAAGACCTAATTTTCACAGGTTTTTCACGGCCTTTCACCCTGTTTTCACGGGCTTTTCACGGGTTTTTCACGTCCTTTTCATGGGTTTTTCACGGCCTTTTTAAGCTTCCAGCCCCAGTTTTGCTAAAGCACCGGTTAAACTGGTGCGTTACTAAAGAACTGGTTAAACTGGTGCGTTGACCCACTGGGATTCAATGACCTCATGAAATCCGTGTTCGTCTCTCATACAACATACACTACTCTAGGCCGGAGCTTCAACCGTAAAAGAAGGTTGACCAGGTAAAACCCTGGGTCAGACTGGACGTCTGTAGTCACCGGTGGATGTGACCGGTGGATCTCATCACCTCGGTACCTCACCGGGTGGTTCCCATGGGTGTCGTCGACCCGTTCGGAGAGTGGGTCAACGAGAAGACGGGTAGACGGTGCGCGTTCTTTTTTCCCCAGATAGCTGGAAGCTATAGGGGTTCTTACTTCTCAATGGATGGGTTCCGGATT